GTGGAGGAGAGAGTGCCGGTAACTCAGTGTTTCCGTCAGTTGTGTATAGTCAGGTGGGTTGTGGTTCTGGGATAAACTCTGGGATTTTAATTTGCACTTGAAGTTCCACAACATGGAAAATGTACAAAGACACCTCCAACTCCTGGTGACTCCATGTATGATGGAACAAGCTATCGCCGGTCCTGTGCCATCTCCATAACCATCACAATGTTTCAGTCCACTGTTGTGCCCACTCTGTATTTTGCATGTCTTCCAACCTAAGGGGACACTTTCCAACATTCTGTTGTGACCCATAGAGTTTACACTTGCTCATTTTCAGAAGTTTATCACCAGGTCATTCTTCCTAGTCTCTTACTCTGGAAGTTCCACTGAACCTGTTGACTTTGATGGTACTTCAGTTACTGGCAAAACAGCTTCCAGCATCATAGCAACATGCAAGGCCATAAAGTGCAACAAACTGATAAACAGGTGGTAGACAAACACACCTAGTGTTTGTTAAACTTTATGGAAACCACTGTAGAAAACACGGGAGGGTTGAGATAAATGTCACAGCTATAGGTCTTGAGTTACATACTTAATCAAGGAAATTAGGGTGGATGGGTGAAAAAGGTTAAGTGAAGCAGTAATGAAGTAACCACTATAATTTACTAAGTACTTTTAGCCAATTCTCCTCTACTGAAGGGTTGAAATCAGCCCTGGGGCACACAGCAACAGTCAGACTGTGTTAGTCTTGGTTGACTAGAGAAACAAATTCATAGACACTCATGTGTATAGGAAAGAGCTTTATATCAAGAGTAATTGTACATTAAGAAAACATCCCAGCCCAATCCAAATCAAGTCCATAATTCCAATATTATCCCACATGCTCAATGCCAATCTATAAAGTCCTCTTAAGACTCACACAACACACGCACAATGACACCGAACCAGGAAGATCACAGGCCAGTGGGTGGAAGTCTTGAGGATCCACTGGTGGTGTAAGCATCTCAGAGCTGGCAGGGTCTCCACATGGCTCCTTCACCTCCAGCACTCGAGCTAGCTCCATGTGTCTTGTCATCAGGAATGTTTCACAGGGAGTGAGTCTGTGTCCCACTTCCAATGAGCTATTTATCTCTTAGCGCCTCCAAATGAGCTCATCAAGCTGCTTCTTAACTTACCCTTTGTGAACTAGGCCCCTCTGGCTGCCAGGGGATGCTAGCTGGGGAAAGGCAATGAAGCTGAGCCGCAAAATGTGCTCCCGTCCCAGGAAGTTGGACTTTCAGTAGGCCTGTCCTCAGAACCTCCAAAAATTGCAAGATTTTTATCCACTGTCTGGCCTCCCTTCCCTCAGGGATGCAAAGGCTCACAAAAACATTTTACTTCCTTGATGGGAAGTACACTCTTGTTCATGGTGAACTCAGGATCACAAGCCCTCACCCCAACAAGCTGTGGCCCCTC